GAGCCAAGATCCCGCCACTGCACTCCAGCCTGGGCGATAGAGGGAGACTCCATTTCAGGAAAAAAAAAGAAAAAAAGAAAAAAAAATTTACCCGGACATGATGGTATGTGCCTATAGTCCTAGCTACTTGGGAGGCTGAGGCAGCCACTGCACTCCAGCTTGGGCAACAGAGAGACAACCTGTGCCTAAAAAAAAAAAAAAAAAAAAGCCTAATATGTTTCTCTGCCAGCAGGATTCATGTTTAATGAGAACTTAATCAAAACTCAAGCCAAATGAGTGAGGCTTTAAATGTGGAATTTTAGGTATTATCTCATGAAGGATTACTATATATTTTTTGAGTGGTAGACAGTAAGCCTCCTTGGCAGCTTTAAAATTGACTATGGGCTAAGCAGTCCTGCTGATCCTAGAAGAGCTGAGACTGGTATTGCTTGGCTTGTCCACCTTTGCAGTAAATATGAATCTCTGCTATTGCTCTAATTGCATGTAAAATTTTCTTCCTTAGTAGGTATAAATGCATTCTCATGTTTTTTTTGGAATGAAGAAATCAACGCTTAAAAATCCTAGCTTCACCACCACTTGCTTACCTTGGACAAGCTGCTTGGCCTCTGCAAAACCTGTTTCTTCAACGTAAACTGAGAATTTTACTTTTTTTTTTTTTTTGAGACGGAGTCTCGCTCTGTTGCCCAGGCTGGAGTGCAGTGGCTGGATCTCAGCTCACTGCAAGCTCCGCTTCCTGGGTTTACGCCATTCTCCTGCCTCAGCCTCCCGAGTAGCTGCCGCCACCTCGCCCGGCTAGTTTTTTGTATTATTTTTCGTAGACACGGGGTTTCACTGTGTTAGCCAGGATGGTCTTGATCTCCTGACCTCGTGATCCGCCCGTCTTGGCCTCCCAAAGTGCTGGGATTACAGGCTTGAGCCACCGCGCCCGGCCCTACTTTTTTTTTAAATTTCTGAGACAGAGTCTTGCTCTGCCGCCCAGGATGGAGTGCAGTAACAGAATCTTTGCGCACTGCAACCTCTGCCTCCCAAGTTCAAGTGATTCTCGAGCCTCAGCCTCCCAAGTAGCTGCGATACAGGCACACACAACCACATCCGGCTAATTTTTGTATTTTTAATAGAGACGGGGTTTCACCATGCTGGCCAGGCTGGTCTGGAACTCCCGACTTAGGTGATCTGTCCAACTCGGCCTACCAATGTGCTGGGATTACAGGCATGAGCCACCGCATCCAGCCACAAAGTTTACTTTTAAAGTTAAGATGATATTCTGTGAAAATGCTTGGTAAACAGTGAGGTGAAGTTCTGTATAAATGAGAATCATTGGGCAGGCTATGGGAGACCTGAGTTTTTAGGTGTCAGGACAAACGCAGGGGCTTGAGGGTGTTAAGGAGGGCACAGTTTAGAAAAAACTTCTGCCTCTATCTGAGCATTGATAATTTAGTTATTCAGTCTCACAAAAGATAGTAAAGATATCAAAAGGCATGTTTGTCCCTCAGTAGGTTTAACAGTGAGCATTGGAAGTTCTGGCCTCCTTAGAGAGTGGCCCTGGAGAAGGACTGGAAGTGGGAGGGCAGCCACAGGAAAAATTACAGAAACCACCTGGTGTGAATGGGACCAAGACCTCAGGCTTTCCATTCAGGGAGCTGTCCCCTTACCAGATTGATGCCATTCACTTCTATGTGCTGGAGGAGGACGCTGGCCACATGCTCTGTGTCCCACTGCACAGCTGGGTCATCTGGGAAATCCCTGCAAGGGAGAAGCACAACTTGAACACCTTTTCTAATCAGGCGCAACCTTCTCCCTAAGCTCCAGTAAGTAGGTGCATGCCCGGTTTTGTGATAATTACATTGGGGGTAAGGGGTCCCTGCCCTTAAGCTTCCTCAGATTTCAGTTAAGGTGAAATTCACAAACATGAGACAACTAGAAATTAATGCACAATTCCACACAACACACTTTTGGAGCTTTATGCTTATTGCTGAGGGGAAGAAACAATATCAACCAGATAAGGCTCTGTCTACAAGTTGGGGAGACAAATGTGTTAAAAATGAACTTGAGCACAAGGCATGATGATATGCACTTTATGAGAATAATAGTAACAGTACTTTAATAAAAAGTACAAAGATATGTTATTTCATTAACCTCATGAACACCTTTTGACGGAGTTTTTTTTTTTTGAGATGGAGTCTCCCTCTGTCACCCAGGCTGGAGTACAGTGGTGAGATCTCGGTTCACTACAATCTTTGCCTCCTGGGTTCAAGCGATTCTCCTGCCTCAGCCTCCTGAGTAGCTGGGATTGCAGGCACCCACCATCACGCCCGGCTAATTTTTGTATTTTTAGTAGAGACGGGGTTTCACCATGTTGGCCAGCCTGGTCTCGAACTCCTGACCTCAGGTGATCGGCCCAACCTCGGCCTCCCAAAGTGCTAGAATTACTGCTCCGTCACCTAGGCTGGAGTACAGTGGCTCACTGCAATCTCCGCCTCCTGGGTTCAAGCAATTCTCCCACCTCAGTCTCCCGAGTAGCTGGGATTACAGGCATATACCACCACACCTGGCTAATTTTTTTTTTTTTTCCCTGAGACTGAGTCTTGCTCTGTTGCCCAGGCTGCAATGTAGTGGCGTGATCTCAGCTCACTGTAACCTCCACCTCCTGGGTTCCAACAGTTCTCCTACTCAGCCTCCCAAGTAGCTGGGATTACAGGTGCCCGTCACCACACCCAGCTACTTTTTTGTATTTTTAGTAGAGATGAAGTTTCACCATGTTGGCTAGACTAGTCTTGAACTCCTGACCTCAGGTGACCTGCCTGCCTCAGCCTCCCAAAGTGCTGGGATTAGAGGTGTGAACCATCATGCCTGGCCTTTGACAGAGCCTTTACCAATGAAGTTAAGTAGCTTGTTTGGAAGACTGTTAGAGTTAGATTTTGAATGCAGGTTTTGCCTGCAAAGCCAAAATGCTTTAGCAGTAGGGAGCTGGCTACATCCCCCCTCCATCAGGACTGGGGCTTGCTGCATGTCAGGTACAAAGGTCTTTACCAGAATAAACTGCAACTTATCTGTGTCTCCACCTGGCCACACCACAGGCCTATCTATCTCCTTCTCCAACCTGCTGAAATCCTTCCGGTCTCTTTTTTGTGCTTTGATCTATGGTGTCACCTGATACGAGACCAAGGCCTACTTTGGTCCCCTTTTTTGAAAATATTATTCGTAATCTTATAAACTGATACCTATCTCTCTTTTGGTCAGGTCCTACAGCAACACCCATAATGCTACTGAGAGGACGTGGGCTCTGCTCCCTACCAGGCAGGTTGTTATCACTTCCCTATGGACAAAGGTCATTAACTGGCCCCCTTTCGAACTTTGGGCAAAGGAGAGTCACAGGAGGTTTTTCAGCACAAAAATGACATGAGCCTCAGCAATAAATAGTGTCATTATTTCCTTTGCTTCAGCTGGTTCATTTACCAACCACTTATGGCAGTGGTCCCCAACCTTTTTGGCACCAGGGACCAGTTTCGTGGAAGATACTTTTTCCACGGACAGGGGTGGGAGGCATTAGATTCTCATAGGGGTGTGCAACCTAGATCCCTCGCATGTGGAGTTCAAAATAGGGTTTGCACTCCTATGAGAATCTAATTCCACCACTGATCTGACAGGAGGCAGAGCTCGGGCAGTAATGCTTGCTTGCCCGTCACTCACCTCCTGCTGTGCTGCCTGGTTCCTAACAGGCCAGGGACGTGTACTGGTCTGAAGCCTGGGGGTTGAGGACCTCTTCTTTAGGGTGTTTACTGCAGAGGGCAGCTTTGTACTTTTCAAAGCCCTATCCCGTCGGCCACTCCAGGTGGTTCTCATAGTGCTCCTGCAGTGAGCAGGACAGGCAGCTCAGCAGGTGGGGGACAGGATTGGGAGAAAGGGATAAAGTGGGATCAGGACAAAGTCCAGTTTTGCTTCCTGGATATGGAGCTGAATATGATGTGTAAAACATAACCCCCTGAGCTCAGGCAGCTGAAGGAGAAGTAGACACAGGGCACAGAGAAAATGTCTTGGAGTGACAACAGCTACATACATACTCCCGGCTGAGAGGTCCACATAAGTGTACCAAGGCATCATTTTGGAGAGAGAATACACCAGTAATACTATATGGAATGTTAGCACATGAGAGAAAGGATAGGAGGATAGTTGGCTAAGCCTACTAATTCTGTGTTGTTCTGAGGTTCTAACGTGCTGAAAGATAAACCTCAAAGAGGGGGATGTTCATGGCTGCCTTTCATTTATCTTCAGAGAACTGGGATCTGCTTTTTTGAGGGGCGATGCAGGAACAAGTGTTGCTCCATGCCTTTCTTTCGGTGGCTCCACCCAGTCATTGTGGGTGAGGCCAATCATTTAGGGAGGGACTTTGAACTGTAAATATCTGCTCTGTGATGTGACACATCTGATAACACTTCATCACTTTTATGATTAAGTCCAAACTCCTCTCGGTCAGGCATTCAAGTTTTCCCCAATCTATATCCTATTTTGATTCACTTCCTTTCTCATTATTTGAAGGGGTCAATGAGATAACACAGGTCAGAAAGCATTTAAGAACTGTGAAAAGGGCCGGGTGCGATGGCTCATGCCTGTAATGCCAGCACTTTGGGAGGCTGAGGCGGGTGGATCACAAGGTCAGGAGATCGAGACCATCCTGGCTAATAGAGTGAAACCCCGTCTCTAGTAAAAATGCAAAAAAAATTAGCTGGGCGTGGTGGCGGGTGCCTGTAGTCCCAGCTACTCAGGAGGTTGAGGCAGGATAATGGCGTGAACCTGGGAGGCGGAGCTTGCAGTAAGCTGAGACTGCGCCACTGCACTCCAGCCTGGGCCATGGAGCGAGACTCCAAGAACTGTAAAGAAATGTGTAAACATCAAAATCGTGGCTGTTATTGCTGCATTAGCCTAATTTAAACCCCCCTTTAAAAAAAAAAAAGAAAGAACTCCCCAGTCCTTCTTTTTTTTTTTTTTTTTTTGGGACGGAGTCTCACTCTGTAGCCCAGGCTGGAGTGCAGTGGGGCAATCTCAGCTCACTGCAACATCTGCCTCCTAGGTTCAAGTGATTCTCCTGCCTCAGCCTCCCCAGTAGCTGGGACTACAGACACCTGCCACCATGCCCAGCTAATTTTTGTATTTTTAGTAGAGACAGGGTTTCACCATATTGGACAGGCTGGTCTCAAACTCCTGACCTTGTAATCCACCCACCTCGGTCTTCCAAAGTGTTGGGATTACAGGTGTGAGCCACCGCGCCCAGTCCCCAGTCCTTTCTTGCAGTCCCTTGCAGAGCTCTTTGATGGCCACTTCTATTGCGGTTGATGATTTCAAAGTGGGGTAGGCACCACAGGAGATGTGTAAGATGACTCACTGAGGTAAAGCAATGAATCACCAGGACTTCTATTTACCTGTTTTTCTGTTTAAATCTATATTTTGTAGCTATTTTATAAGGCATCATATACGAACAGGGTTAACATGTATATAATTTGAGTAAATAAGTACATAAATATGGAGGTGCAAGCTCAAATGTTGTTTCTTGCCATTAGGGGAGTGTGATAAAAATGTCTGGAGATCACTAATCTACTCATAATTTCATTTTTCATTTATTTTCTCCTGAATATTTTATTTTATTTATTTATTTTTGAGACGGAGTTTTACTCTTGTTGCCTAGGCTGGAGTGCAATGGCACCATCTTGGTTCACTGTAACCTCTGCCTCCCGGGTTCAAGTGATTCTCTTGCCTCAGCCTCCCAAGTAGCTGGGATTACAGGCGTGCGCCACCACGCCCAGCTAATTTTGTATTTTTAGTAGAGACAGGGTTTCACCATATTGGCCAGGCCAGTCTCAAACTCCTGACCTTGTGATCCACCCACCTTGGCGTCCCAAAGTGCTGGGATTACAGGCGTGAGCCACCACGCCTGGCTGATATTTTATTTTTTTGAGACAGAGTCTTGCTCTGTCACCCAGGCTAGAATGCGGTGGTACAAGCACAGCTCACTGGAGCCTTGACCTCCAGGCTCAAGTGATCCTCCCATCTCAGCCTCCCAAGTAGCTGAGATTACAGGTGTCAGCCACCAAGCCCAGCTAATAACTCGGTGATTTTTAGTACATGTATGGAATCTCTACATTTTATTTTACTAGTATTTTACATA